CTTTCCCACGGGAATAACCATTCTTATCCCTAACATCTGCTCTCTTCCTACCAGACTGGTTCGAGCGGGAAGATCCTGCCTTCTCTTTGGCATCTGACATCATATTTCCAGGGTTCTGTGAACTCTCGTTGGAAGGAAGCGCCCAACCTCCCCGACTAGCCTCCTCACGTCCACTGCTGCTAGCTCCTGGTACCAACCAAATCATAAAACACAAAGAATTAAAATCATAAAAAATGTCAATCATTGGTTCATTTGTGATGTTGGCATCCTTGACAAGATAGTGTGTTGAAATTTTCATTCTTAACCTTGACATCCATTCAGCTAAAGCATACAACCTCACATTTATCTAAACAAAGCGGGCAGTTTTCCAAGTATAGTTTAGCGAAACATACTTCTGCATTTACCAATAAGTATCACACCAAAGGGCAAGACATTCAATAAAACTTAACACACTAGCTGTATATGCTCTCCTACAAAGGTTCATGCCCCAGTATGCATGCTGTAGCATATAAGCACAACCACCACTCTCATTATCCTAAAAATTAGTTAAGGTTCCTAAAAGAAATGAGCCAGACAAGAAACTCTTACAAAACACAGATATAAATAGACCCACGGGCACTGAAAAAGCTGCAAGAACTTTTTAAGAATTCATTAAGGAACCAAAAATGAATTATCCGCAACTTAATGGTACATACAGTCAACAGAAGGTTCATATACACACAATACTTAGCCAACACCAAACTGCAAAAATGATATTTACCCATTTTTCATATCAGAGTCAAAAGTCAACATTACAAACTCACCTAGATTTTCGTAACCACCAAATTTATCAGTCCATCCAGGCAAATGTTTTTGAGCAGTTCCTTTCCATGCTTCTTCAAAACCAGAAATCTCATCTAAAATTTCCCAATCAGATGCTCCAAGTTAGTTTATATACCAAAACAACTCTATACACCTTCTTGCACAAGCACAGCATTGCATATAAAGTTTACATACCTTCGTTAAGATTATGCAAGGTTTCCATTGTATCCACCTTACCGTCTGTTTTGAGCTTCCTAGTAATTGAATGGCCCTAAAAGGAGAATCCTAAATGTAAGTGTTCTACTGACATCATGAAATTGATGATCCAAGATTCGAATCCAAAAAGTAAAAGACACATCAGCAACAAAACTAGATGGCACCCAAAACATACCTTATTGCGGAGCCCCTTAGATACCCTGTGTGTTGCCTGCCCAGAAGTAGTATCAGCTTCCTTACTTTCCTCAAAAGCCAACTGCTCACACAACAAGTGCAAATTAGAAACATGACTACTGAGAAAGGAAAAAAATTGAGAACCTTTCACAATTACTTACCCCATCACTCCCCATCCTTCTTGTCTTGGATGAAGTATAATATGCACCATTGGCACCACCATAAGAGACACTGGAGCTCTGAAATGTGAAGCTTTGAGCTTGAGGCTGGGATTGCATAGCGTTATACCGGTTATAGTTGTCCCTATGCTGCAAATGCTTGCTGCTCTTCTCTGCACAAAAGGGGGAAAAGCATTCCTAATTATTTAGTCTCAGACAAAAACATTCAGTAATTACCAAGGTCAATAGCAACCAACTATTTAAAACATCTTACCTTCAACTTCATCATCAGGATCCTCAACATAAGGTTCATTGCTCGGTCCACTGCGTTTTCGAGGATTTTCTTTTTTCTCATTATCAGCATCCTCATTTTCATGATCAGAGTCTATTTCCTCAATGATTGGGCCCCTTGGTCTCTTAGGCTCTGGCGCCTGATGCTCAATGAACCCAGTTGGTTGCATATCTGGAAAATTGCCTCCACCTGGACCAAAAAAACTCGACTCCAACATCCCTCCAAATGGGGGCATACCTCCAAACGAGGGCATACCTCCAAATGGGGACATACCTCCCAACGGGGACATACCTCCCAAAGGGGACATACCTCCAAATGGGCGAGTGAAAAAGGGGTCATCAAATGGATCCCTTCCTCCAAAAAGGTTAGAAATCAAACTCCTCTGACCCCCAAATCCACCAAAGCCCCCAAAACCAGCAAAAGGATCATTGAAATCAGGGAAAGGACTCCTGCCACCTGGACCGCCTCTGCCCCCCTGCATCTTCTAACCACTACAACCCCTGAAAAATAAAAAGGGGCAAACCAAAACTTTAACAAATATATGGTAAGAAGTACCTTCCACACTCTACAGTCATAAAACTTGAAATTCAGAATTAAACTATAACGAATTTAAAACTAAGAGTCCAAGAAGCAAGTGGTTTAGACAGCAAATAGAAGACCAAATCACCACTGATTGATGCAGACAATTTCTCAAGCATGGTATAAAAATTTGCATAATCAAAAGATCATGCATCGTTTTTTAATTCGAAACTATGTTACTAATAGCCACGCAATAAGAAAAACACGAAAAATCATACGTTGCAATAATATTTCCCAATAAAAACCAATCCTAGAAACTTTTTCCTGCAACTATAGCAAAGTAAATCCCTAAATTCATGTAAGAATCAAACAAAAAAAAGGATCACAATCTACAACAAATTATTACACATCAATTCAATGATCATAAAATAGAATCTTTTCTTCTTTTGCTTTTTTTCGTTTTTTCTGCAATCAAAAGTAAAATAAATAAATAAATTTTAAAAAAAATGAGTACCTCGGAAAAGAAAATAGAAATTTGGAGCGAACTGAATCGGAACCAGAGAAAACCCTAATCGCCTCAGCACGAAATGCTTTGATGAAGGGGTTTTCCAGGTGCCACAAAGTTAATAGCGTTGCTGCGTTTGGTTTAACCGACTCACCAAAGGGGGAAAAGAGAGAGAGAGAAATTGAGAGTTCAATTTGATGGAAAGTCTTAGTATAGTCATCAGACGTCTGTACATCACTGTTGGCGGCATGATACGTGTCGCTAGGCCATAGCTTGATTTTTTTTTGCGGGGCCCAAAGGATTAGAATGGAATTTTTTTTATACCATAGTTTTTCTCAAAATAATAAAATATGGAGATGAAAAAATTTAGCCATATACTTTTTTTTTTTTAAATTAATATTTTGGAGGGCAAAAATTATAGAGATATTTAGTTATATACCCATTCTTAATACTAATGATATAGATAACCTTACACTATTTAATTTTTATAAACAAACACACAAAAAATTCAAAAAATGAAAGTTGGGCTTATTGAATTTAATTTTAATTATTAAATTACTTTGATACTCTATTTAGTGTTTTGGGTTTTTTAATGGGATTTTAGGGTTGGACTTGTTTTAAAAAATCGATGACAATTTTGTAATTTATAAGAAGTTGAAAGCCTCTTTGTTATGTGTTGAGGCCCAAAATATTCACGGTTCGGCCCAAATAAATTCTCGGCCCAATGTGATGCTTTACCAAGAAAAAACCCGATTTGGGCATGCCAAAGTTCATCATATGCGCTTGCACACATGCCACGCCAAACGACACGCCACGCTAAGCAAGGAATTATCATTCCGCACCTAATCACGCCACGAGCTTAAGTGGGGCCCAAGCCACTCAAATACCCGGGGCTTGCTTGAGTGGGTTGTGGTATGGATGGTGATAAATCAACATGAGACCCATTGATGGACCGAGAAATGGAAAGTCTCGGGTTGCTTGGGAGCCTCGAGACTCAAGCCCGTTTCTTAGGCCCAAACATGTGGGTAAGCACAAGAAAGAAAAGTAGCCCAATACCCAAGCAAAACAACCCAACCAAAATAAAGTCCAAACTAAGAAGCCCAATGTTTAGTAAAAGCCCTTTTGCTTAGGAAATCACCTTGGCCCATATAAAAATCCTAAAATAGCCCACAAAAAACCTCAGCTTTTGGAGAAAGCAGAGGACACGTGAAGAGCAGATGGCAGACTCCTTAAGCAAAGCTGCTGGAAACCAGTCTTAAGCCAGAGACATCCAAAGAACCGATGAATACCATCCCGCATGCTGTCAGAAGCATCCCTTGGACCAGCATGTATTTTCACCTCTTTTCCTTCGTCAGATTCAGCCAAGGAAGAGGAAAGAAAAGAAGAAAAAACAGCAAACCAAGAGTGGAAGCTCCCATTGCACAGCCGCGGGAAAGGAGGATGTTGAGCCCCCAAATCCCCTGAATTCATGAAAATAGACAGAAGCAATCTTTGCCAAGAAAGGGAAGTCAGAGAAGGGGAGGAGAAAGGAAGAAAAGCTTAGCCAAAGTAAGTAGAAGCCATTAGGGTTTCTTGAAAATTGGTGATTTCCGGCAGCTATAAATTGAGCCTTCCCCTACCCAACAAA